GGAGGTTTATCTGTAAGCCTCAGGGTCGCACCTGAATGGTGCAAATGAGTGCGGAGCCTTCTTGGAAATGCTGAAAGGACCGTGTTGTAGACTGGGGATAGAGGACGCCATTTCCTTCCTTCTCTGTTGAGAGAGGGATGTTCAATTTTGAGACAGATGGCCTCTTGGACCCCTCTTTCAAACCAGGGGTCCTCTCTGTCCAGAATGTGGACTTTGCTGTCTCCCAAAGACTGGCCTTTTGTCTTAAAAATGCAGGTGCTGAATCTAATCCTGAAGGGTTTGTTCTGCTAGGTGGCGCCACGTGTTTGTGAAGTGGCTGTTTTGTTTCCCCAGTGTACAGATCTCACTCCATTGTACTGCATAGGCCTCATTGCTCAGTTAGTGACGAAAAATCATAACGAAAAGAAACAATGAAGCCCAGTTGCCTCTAGAAAAGAGCACCTTGGGGATAAGTGAACAGTTGTAAGTTGAGGACTACCTGTACATGCATGGTCCTTCGGGCCCAACCCCAAGGAAAAGCCATGAACCCGTCCCTCACTGTGATGACCCGGGGTGTGGCACAAAAGCCCCTTTTAAATCCTGTTTTCCCAGCTGCAGCTAATGAAGGGAATCAGGGCCCCTTTCTCCCCCGTAACCCATGTTGCTCCCTTCTCTGTTCCTCCCTGCGTGCCCTAGGATGAAGAGGGGGTGGGCCTGGGCCTTCCTTTGAATGCCCAGCCGGATTGTGCCTTTTCCCAGTTTCCTCCACAGCCACCGGAGCCACGCTCCCACTCCCTGTCAGCTGCTCAATCTCCCCCTCGGAGTCAGATTCCAACAGGGGCATGACACTGGTGAATGGCCAGAGTCTGGTTTTGTGGCTACCGGAAGAAGCAGCCATCTTACCTTTTCTTCAGAATGATAATCCCTAGTGCCATGCTGGCTATCAAAGAGCCCTAGAGGGAAAGAAATGGAGAAGAAGGATTTTTTTAAAAGGCTATCAGGATTCTGGCAGTTACCCCCATTTAAATCATGAGTCTCGAGCCAAACATCCGAAACTTTAAAAAGGATTTCTTGGGAATTAACAGGCCGGCACTGCCTGGGTGTATCGTAATTCATATTCTCCAATGGGACACCTCCATAGCCCAGAGTCATCAATCATACTCTCCAGTTAGAATTTTGCGGGCAGAAACTTCGGTCACCTAGTTACCATCTTTGAGAACATTTATGGAATGCACTTTCGGTTTGCAAGCTGCCGCACTGCTCCCCCCTCCCTTTCTGTTGGCAACTCTAAAAAGACCAGAGAAATATTTTATGAGTTGATAATAGCCATTGGGATAATACAGGTAGTCCGTGACTTACAACAGTTCATTTAGTGACCGTTCAAAGTTATAACGGCACCGAAGGAAAAAAGCGACTTATGATGGTTTTTCACACTTATGACTGTAAATTAGGATGTAAATCTTTGGCTGAAGGTCCAGGTGGGCCTCGACTTACAACTGCAATCAAACTCAATGTTTCTTTTGCTAGAGCAAGACATTTTTTTAAGTGAATTTCGCCCCATTTTTACGACCTTTTTGGCCACAGTGGTTAAGTTAACCTACCTTAACTCCTGCAGGGGTTAAGATAGGTCAGTGGTGGCTAACCATTTTGGGCTCCTGTGCAAAAAATTGTGCACGCATTTAGCACGCGCGCACTGACATGCCAGCACCCAGAATGCAATGCGCGTCCTCACATCCCCTGCGTCTGCGCGTGCAATCTCCCCTTCTGCTTAACTGCACTGCACCTCACAGCTGATTTTTCGGCTTCCAGGGGCTTTTCAGGACAAATAATAGGCCCGTTTCATCACTTCTGGTATTACAGGAAGTGACAAAACGGGCCTATTATTCATCCTGAAAAGTCTTGCAGAGGCTTTTTCCAAGCCTCTGGGAGGCTGAAAAAGGCCTCAAACCAGCTGAAAAATCAGCTGTGAGCCGCACGCATGCGCAGTGAGGTAAGTTTGCCTGTGGCTCGTGTGCTGGCACAAATGGCTCTGCGTGCCACTTGTGGCACGCGTGCCATAGGTTTGCCATCACGGAGATAGGTTAAGTGAATCGGGCTCCCCTACTGACTTCGTTGGATAGAAGGTCGCAAAAGGGGAATCACGTGACCTTGGGACACAGTAACGGTCGTTAAGTAAGAACCAGTGGCCGAGCATCTGAATTTTGATCACATGACCACGGGGGATGCTGCAATGGCAATTGGTGTGAAACACGGTCATAGGTCACTTTTTTTTCAGGGCCGTTGTAACCTTGAATGGTCACTACACGAAGCGTTGTAAGTCGAGGACTACCTGCATCGGATATCTTTTGCAGGTTAAGAAGGTTGAGGGTAGATATAGTCACTATATGGGCATTAAATTGAA